TGTACTGACTTTTGGACTTTGTATCTGGAATTACTTCAGATTTTATCTTCTAAAATGGCGCGCTACTTTGTGATGACGCATGCGTATAATTATGAAGCCTAAAGTATCATGTAACCTAAAAGACATCAAAGAATGTATTCTGTGATTTTTAATTCCCTCTAGTTCGAATACGACAGTGGTAATTGGTAATTCGTTTTTAACCAACTATTTTTTTTCTCACATATTATTTACATACAACATTATACAAATACTTATCTTTCAAAATTTCCATTTTAGTCACTTGATTAGACGAATGACATCATTTTTAACCTACTTTTGATATTGTTAGTCATCTTAATTATTAAAAAAACGACAGTTAGTTTAACTCGATATTTATCTCTTTCGTGCCTCGAACTTTTATTAGTGTCAAAATTGTCAGTCGAACATTTCATAGAAACTCGGCTTAGTCAATGAATATAATTGACGTTTGTCACCTATGTCCGGTGCCCACGAGGTATGTGTTCGTTCCCTGCAACGTCATCGGACCAGGATTGCAGCCAAGGATCCTGATTACCCTGCTGGACAGCCTCGCTATCGGCGGCAAATTCGTCAACGACGTCATGATTTGTCCGCTTGACTCGTTCACTCGCGGAACGTTCGTTAGAAGAAGCAAGAAGGACAGTCGCACTTTGAAACTCAGTCCACGTTCTTATATACGCTCGTTATCTATAATTCATACGAATTGAGAAACTACGTCTTGCACTATCTACACTTAAAATAAGACTATTAAAAATTCAAATTCTTTTTTAAAATAAGCCTATTAAAATAAGACTATTAAATATTCAAATTGTTTTTTTACTTTGAAATTTTTCGTTTCATTACTACGACATTGAATTCTTGATGTAAGAAGATAAAATTTTTTTCTTCTTTGATATATTGAAATCAATTTCTTTTTCGATTATATCATTATTTACGTAAAGATATATATCTTTATCACTCGATAGAATTCGAAATGTAAATTGTGTTAATTGCGAATGTTAATTGCGAAAACGTTCTTAAGGCGAAATGTAATTAAAGAAGGTGAACGCAGAAAAGTTAAAATTGATTAAAATTTTAAATTATGGAAATTTAATAAAAATTAAAAGAATAAAAAAAAATTAACATAAACTTGTTTCAACAAATCAAATCTAAAGGCAATATGAATTGCAAAAGCAAGTGTTCATACGATGACACAAGTTTATCTTTGTATACCTAGTAAAAAATCGTTTATATAAGGCACATATATATATATATATATATATATATATGTACATAATAAAAAAATTAATTAAATTAAAAAATAATATTAAATATAGATATTAATATTAATAAATAA